TGCGTAATAAAGAGGTGTCAGTCCGCACATCCACGTTCGTGTTATGTTTTCCCCGGTATATAGTGTTCCCAAAAAGGAAGGGATGTAGTTTACTTTCAGTATAGCTTACACGATAATCTGATCGTACAAAGGTTCCTGGGATTGATTATTAAAAGCATGGCGGTTCAGATCCACGGTATTCTTTGTGTAGACTTTAATGATGCATTCGAATCGGTTTCAACACGCGATTAACACACAGGAGCCGTGAAAAATGGACCTCGAAATGTTAAAACGACGTTACTGAAGCCATTAATAGACAATTTGTTGTCTCCAACCAAAGCAAAGGGCACGAAAAACAAACATGACAACCGGCTTCTCAGGTTAACAAACCCTTTTGTAACAAAAACTTAACGGATTACATTTCAACTGTCGAAACAATAGTCAGCTTGACTGTCTCGAGGCTTCAACTTACATATTTAGCGCACATCTCCTGCTATACTGCAACGATTAATCCGTACCTGACTGAGGTGGTTGTAATCAATCAATCAGTCCCGTAGAGGAAAAAAATTGGCCAAGATTTTCAACACAAGTGCCAGAAAAATTTAATTGGCTACCACTAACAGCGGGGATCGCGGGAGGAGTATAAGGAGGAGTACCTCGATTTCATGGCTTGTCCCCAGGGTCTTCTCGCTTCTCCAATATGAGAGAGATTTTTTGCGGGGGGAGGGGAAGAAGTGGTGAGTGCATTGTAGGGGTAAGGGGTAGTGTTTGTTTCTAAAGGGAGTCTCATTTAAAGGAGTTTCGTTTCATTTCCACGGAATAAGTTTGCTTCTATGCAAAAGGCTCATTTCTACGACGGAGGCATATTTCTACGGCGGAGATGTATTTCTACGGTGGAGGCTCATTTCTACGACGGAGGCACATTTCTACGACGGAGACTCATTTCTACGACGGAGGCTCATTTCTATGGCGGAGGCACATTTCTACGGCGGAGGCATATTTCTACGGCGGAGGTGTATCTCTACGAAGAAAGTGTGTTTCTATGAAAGAGGTCAATTTAAAAGCAATCGGCTTATCACTTGTATGGAAAAGAGGAACCAATGCACGGCGCAGAAGAGTTTTTATGTAGAAACTGCGGTATTTTAAAATGTGAAGCAGTGGCACTAGTGGGCCACCGTAGGAAAATCACCAGGGGAAAATAAGAAATAATGTCACGGATATCGATTATTAAGTCGAGTTTTTCTCGGGGCACAGACAATCATTTGGTTACGGAACACAAAGAAGAATTCACTTGAATTAACGATTCACGAAAAATAAAAACAGGTAATCACGTATCACGAAAATACCCCTGTAAGACGGACATGCTTTATAGATTACAGTCATCGCCCTCCGGGTTAAATAACCGGATTAGAGTTCATTTTTCGACAACCAAAATACCCGGGAGGTACTCCCTTACATTAGCATTAGAGGTATTGGTCTCAAAAAGGGTCAGAAATCGGAGAACCAGACACGACACACCCCACCACGAATTCCCACAAAAACCTCACCCCACACCCTTCCGGAAACAAAATCCACCCATTTTATAAACTGGGCCCAGCTTTATGTCCAGCCCAGTTAATAATTTCCGGAATTTACGGGAAATGAAAGAATTTTTAGAAATTAGTCACGTTCTTGTCAGGCCATATGTTTGTTAGTAAGAGTTTATTGGTAGTCCTGCCTTTCCAGCCGTTTTTAGGGTCGTCACTTAACGCTCCTCTCCCAATGCGTCTCTATTTTAGGCAAAAGTGTAACCTGCTTATTTAGACATTATAATGATCGAAAGTACAGCCCTGACATAAGAATTGAATTCCTTCTTGTTGTTTCTATAACGGATTATTACAACATGACGCAGTAATACCCCGAGTATCTACTTGCAGCACTTCACTTACAATTTGTAACCTCTAGTTGCCAACGAGCCATCCGAGCGAAGACGCTCGAATGGCGAGGCGGCAGCAGAATAGAGCCGCGCAAGACTCGGCTGTAGGCAGAAAAATTCTCGATCGAGCTTCAAAAAGTGTAACCTCATGTAATGTAGATTCCCCTGAGACCAAGTGGTGTGACAGTTTCAGCCAATCAAAAGGCGGTAAACTATACTTGGCGCAAATGTGTTCTTTCCTCGGCCGCACGCGAAGACTGAACTCGAATGTGGTACGCTTTTATTGTTTATTCACCTAAATCTGGCCCCGGCAGGCAAGGAAAATGCAAACTTGATGCATTGTATTAATTTGGGGGCCATTAATGTAAGGTTTTAACGAAGAGAAGCTTGTAAAACAACACTTTAAGCAAAGAAAAGTTTTCCATGTGAAACAAGCAATTCTCACCACTAAAAAGGATCAGATTACACGAACAGATAAGGAAAGCTTGATACGAAGAATAAAGTCGCTTCTGTTGGAAAATCTGATGTTGGGGAAAAAATCTAACCAGCAAATGGAAAAACAAGAATAAAAAGGAATTACAAGCCTAAAGCGAACGACAAAGGATAAGAAAACAACGCTATTTTTTCGAAACCTGGCCGAGTTTATAATAAAGCGAAAACAAAATACCGACGTGCCGTTACATCGCATGTCCTAGAAAACATTTCAAGGAGCGGAGCGAATCATTCTAAAATTCAATCGGGAACTCGACAAAAAGCCTCGGGAAATTTCAGAGGAGGTTTAAATGATTAAACTGAACAAATATTTATCTACAAAGTGAAACCGAACCGACACTAATTTTGTAGTGGTAAGAGAAACGATCAGTTTTTAAATTTCACCCTAAGTATATATTACCGATCGCTTCCTCTGCAAGCTGTTTTATTCTTTCAAAAAAGTATGCCTCACGACACTTCAAACTTTTATATAGCAGGTTCGTAAAGCCACAGGAGTCTGAGGACTGACTCTTCTCCGAACCTTTACACTTGCATAGCACCTCAGTTTCAAGAAAATAATCCTTTCAACAGGAAGGGACCAAGAAACTGTCAAATGTTGGAAAAAAGGAATCCATTCCTGTGCAAAATACGCATGATTTGCTCGTTGGCACTCTATCGATAGGTATACCTAGTTTTAGAATCTTACCCAGTACAAGCATCCTAAACACAGCCGTCTCAGACTGGAAGCCTATCATCATCTATAAATAGAAAACTCTAAATAGCCTGTAGGTAGATGTTCTCAAGAAACTATGCTCTGCAATTCGTAAAACACGGCGATCTACTAAGTAGACAACGAAATTAGGGTAGGCTTTCCCTTAACATTCACCAAATGTTTTAAGAAAGCGGTTAAAACATAAAAGGTTAAATGGTGAAAACTCAACACTGAGCGAGATCATAACAAAGTCTGCGTTTTGACAATGTAACAACTGGAGAAATGAACTCAAAAAGCCAAAACTCTAGCTATTAAACTTGAGCTTATGTCGTTTATAGGTCGAGAGAAATTAAGAAATCGACAACGAAATAGACTCTGGAGTTGATAGAAAAAAAAATGCAAATCTTCTCAAGATATTTTTTACCTAGCCGAAAAACAAATTGCATACATGGAATGTGTCTAGCAACGCATCAAATAACTCTGGCGCATTGAACTACATAGAACAACTTTCACTCGGCTCCCATGTAAAGAATGCATAAACGAAAGATTACCTGAAACAGATGTGGTCACTTCAAACAGGAAAGTCATAAAAAAGAACGACTGCTTTGGAGGTAAACATCTTGTTCCTTTGGGCCTTTCGCCTTCTTACTTGGCCTGGAACAGGCTCCTTCCCTACTCCGCCGGTGGTCTGGATCATGTGCTCATCATATACCTCGACCTTTGGACTATTGATGAGTCTCGGTCGGGGAAAGGATTCAATTCTGATAATGAAAGATAATCCTTCGTTCGTGCCAAAACAAACAAAAAAGGTTTTTAAAAGTTCTTTTATAACCAAAGGGACAAACCCCGACCGTCTTTATATTCGCAAGGATCACAAGGAGCTAAAGATTGTATGGGGCTGTATCAGTTTGGTATTTCTGGGACATAAATAACTGTCAAAATTGTTACAAAGCTGACTCTGCGTAATAAAGAGGTGTCAGTCCGCACATCCACGTTCGTGTTATGTTTTCCCCGGTATATAGTGTTCCCAAAAAGGAAGGGATGTAGTTTACTTTCAGTTTAGCTTACACGATAATCTGATTGTTCAAAGATTCCTGGGACTGATTATTAAAAGCATGGCGGTTCAGATCGGCAGTATTCTTTGTCAGGGTCGGCCAGGGTTTTTGGGTATACGGTATACAGGGGCTTTTTCAGTCGGGTATACGGTATGTTGCAGCTTAAATACGGATATTCGGTATATCGCTTTCTTTGAATTTCAGGTATAAAGTATATCTGGGTATAATTTTGGGTATATTTGAATTTTTTCGGGTATACTGGTTTTCCAGAATCCCCCTGGCCGACCCTGCTTTGTGTAGACTTTAATAATGCATTCGAATCGGTTTCAAGACACAGGAGCCGTGAAAATGGACCTCGAAATGTTAAAACGCCGTTGCTGAAGCCATAAATAGACAATCTGTTGTATCCAACAAAAGCAAAGGGCACGAAAAACAAACTTGACAACCGGCTTCTCAGGTAGCCTCCCTCGCAGCCGTCTTTTGGATGTCACGCAACGCTCTGTTCTTTTGGGGAGCGTTGCGTGACATCCAAAAACGGCTGCGAAGGAGACAACTTCTCAGGTTAACCAACCTTTTGTAACAAAAACTTAACGGATTACATTACAACTGTCGAAACAATAGTCAGCTTTCTGTCTCGAGTCTTACTGAGCGCACATCTCCTGCTATGCTACAACGATTAATCCGGAATGTTCAACTTAACTAACTGAGGTGTGGTTGTAATCAATCAATCAATCAATCAATAAATCTTTATTCCTCCTGGTAACATAAAAAGACATAAGTTATATTTTCAGTTGGAAGTCTAAAAATACGTATAACATAACAGTATACAAATAATAGAAAGATTTAAGATTATATCCAAAAAAGGCCATTAACAATAAAATACATTCTTAAATCTCTCAGTCTCTATCTCCGGGCGATGAGCAGTTTTGTTTCTAAGTTGATACTTTGTTTCTTTCTTCTTCGGAATAATGTTACTAAGCGGACAATCGGTATCCACTGAACGCACCTTGGAAAGCTTCTTATCTGCCTTTTCTAAAAGTTCTCGAATGTCCATTCTCTTATACAAAACCACCACCACCTGGAGGATGGCCAGCATCACCGCAAACCCTTACGCCCCCCTCTTTAAAGCATCTACCGTGTAGCATGAAAATCTTGGGGGAGTTTTATTTTGCGGACTGGCGATTTTTATGGTTTGCCGGAACACTGAATTTTTGCGGTTCGAGATGACTGAAATTTCTGGTGGGAACTAATTTTTACGATTCTCTGTTCAAGTAGCAGAATATCTAAGTGGAAGAAACCTTAATATGGTATTTTTAACTTTTATGTTACAGTGTGTTGAGTCAAAGTTCACTCTACTTGCATATTTAATGGGGAATAATACGGTAATCACTGTAATATCTTACTGCACAAAGGGACTGAACAACAGCAAAACAAAACAAAAGCCTATCCCTACGATACTGTAAGTCCATTAAAAGCAGAGTTTTTAATTTGACTGAAGGGAGTTAATTTTTGCGGCGTTTTATATTGCGGGTTTTTTTTTTCTGCGGGAACTAATGTTTGCGGATCGAGGTCAATCCGCAAAATTCGAAAAAATTAGAACCCGCAAAATATCATGCTACACGGTATCCAGAAAGTTTTGTATGACCGTGAGATCTGAGTCTACAGCGCCAAAAACAGTCAGACCATCAGTGAAATTCGGTAAAACTAAGGCGCTAAATAGGCGGTCTACTTCACCTCGACTGAAACCTTCCATCCGTAAAGATCTTAAGAGCGAATGCACAGAAAAATCGAGCAAAATCGGAAAATCGTGGCCACAGCTCAAAACGTAACTTACCCTCATTTTCAGTCTGTAATAAGGTTTTAATGAGTTTATAACACTGCTGAGGTTTAAATTTCAAAATGCGGCCGAGTTTGGGAATTATTTGAGATTTTCGATTTCAACGGTCTGCGAGCCTAAAATTAGCCGCCGAACACGGCAATATAGCCTAGCGACAGAGATGAGCTGTCTTTCATAAACGAGCAAATATATTGGCAATCTTCCACTTAAATCTCAAAAAGCAGATATCTAACAATTTCTGAACGGCACATTTTTTTTAGATTTAGAGAATAAAATATCGACGAACCAGCAGAATTTTGAAACGTAATTTGCATAATGCTTATAAATACAACAATTTACCGCTAAAACCAAAATCGAATTTTCTATATGGGGAATTCTCCAAATCACCCCAAATCCCGCTTACTACCCAATGAGATATAGTACTTCAACATTATCTGAAAGTTAGTCTGGTGTTCTTGCGAACGCTTGTAAAATAGATTGATTATTTTGAGGTTATTTTGCCCCAAACAACCGCTAATTGACCCCAGGGTCAATTGACACGTGCACGTCACCTTAGTTTTATGCATCGATTTGAGCTCGTTAAAAGGGAGAAACTAACAAGATTCTTTTAATATGTACCTGTGTTAATGAAATACACGCAATCTTCAAAAGGAGAGGCCGTTCAATGGGTAATTTCTGTTCTTGAGATCTTGTAGATTGCAGCATGGCGTCTGCGAGTGGACCTGAGTCTAGATCTGTTTTCCCGTGACTGCGAAATCAGAATAACATCAAGTAATAATTCTCCCTCGAATCTTCGTAAGTGAATCAGCTTTGCAGTGCCTTACCTGAGATAAAAAAGTGGCCCGAATAGCAAAACATTTCTAGCGCAATTTGAATCCTTTGTGGAACGCAGTGTATTGCTGAGCGAAAGGTGAGTAAACAAACGTGGGAAAGTACGTTACCTTTGATTGCGTGACCAGCCAGTAAACGATAGTCTCCAGCGAAAAATAGGATTCGCAAAAATCTTGCTGATGTATATTTAACAGTTTGTTAATATAAATTTACACCTGGTTTGTCTAAAACTTTAAACAATGCATATCTCTCCAAGAGTGTAAGAATGTTTCGAAAGATCCACCCCTAAATAACTGTGGGCTACTCCTTTTTCCCCATCACCGATGTGCACTTCCTTCCCACTGTCTTTTTTTTGCATGAGGCTTGTATGCCTTTTTAACTGATATCGACACTTAAAACTGGCCGTTTAAGGCCTGATTTAAGAACTTGACTGACTTAAAAACCGTCGCGAACATGCGCTATTATTGTTTGACTTTGGAAGCTTTAAGCCCAAAATGATGGTGCAATATCGAGAAATTTGCCCGGGTCTAATTATAAGACAGGGAACGGGTACTAAGAAAGGGACGGTCTCATTTAGCAACCCGTGGACAATCTGGGCATGCTTGCCTTCTGTCGCAGGGGCAACCGTTAAGGCCAGGTACGCCGCCCGCACCCGAGAGGATTGCATGGCATCCATCATTTCAGTCGCTTTTTCCACATTATGACCTTCAATTATCATGAATTATAATGCGGGCCTTGATCGTTGCCACCTTACCAGAAGTCTAATCTTCGCACTGTTAGACCATGAGAATCATTATTATTATTCCATAAATGCACCATTGACTTTTCCTTGCTCAGCGTCCGGTAAACCGATACTCAGAAGCAAAAATAGCTTTACAACGACTCTATCCAGGCCAGAACTCCTGATATCAACAAATATACTCCCCCCGCCCCCCCCCGCTAAAGAGAGCAAACGTTCCCCGAACTACTCACTTGACCCACCCCATCCCTTCGTTAAGAAAAACTACGCACTCAGTCCACTTGACAAAACGCGCTCGTGAATATACCAAACTATAGCCGTTCATCCTACAAGCAATCTCAGTTTCAGCAGGCGTGGCCACGTTTCCAGTTGCTGTAAGATTAATTCGACACCTGCAACAGACACTGTAAATTAAATAGCAGCCACGACGCCCTTCTTTGAAACCGTCAGGACGAGAAAGTTTATAAAAAGACTTAACAGGTGTGCGCGGCGGTTTCCTTTTCTTCCTTCCCTTCCATTGTAGCACTCAAATTCTGACCCTGATATTAATTCTAGTAGTAATCAATCGTTCCTGAGCCGATAGGCACAAGGATACCAGTTTCTTGCAAAAATTAATATGCTGTGACATCCGTTTGCTCATCCCCCTTTCTGCCTTCCGCCGCTGATTAGGTTTGGTTCTGTGCTTTGAAATAACTTTAGGAACGAAACATGATACGTGAGGGGCGTGTCCGGCTAAGGGCAAGTGACTCTCGGTGGTGAAGACATATACTGAGCTTGTCAGTATTTGGTAGCCTGTACCACGTCGCGAAAATAGAACAAGCCAAAGAAAAATAAGACACCTTTCTTTCCCCAGCTCCCGCAGGTTTTTCGCATTACTTTTTACTGCACAACTGATTGTTCCTTTTCGAGCCGGAGGGAACATGGACGCCATTGGGGTTAAGTTTCCACTTCATTTTCGGCACCTGACTAAACGCAAGTGCTGACTTGTGCGCCTATGCTTCGTTTGCACTGAAGTAGCAGTATATGACCACGACAGACTTGCTGCTATCCTTGGTTTGAAACCGCAATGGGCAAGAACAATATTTTCTTGAAAAGAGCAAACTATTTCCTCCTTAGCAGACATGGAGAACAACTACTAGGACTTAAGCAATGCCATTGCTTAAGTCCTACTAGACTTGAAAAGAGAAAGCATGATGCTTTCTCTTTTTAATGATTTACGGCTAAACAGTACAATTTCATGTAGCTTTTACGCAAAATTAAATACTTAGTTGTTTGCAGAGTTGCATTTAACAACAAATTACAGAAATTTAACTGTACCATTTTTAAAAGTGGGACAGTATGTTTGCTAATCATCTTAGTTAACCGCTTTTAAAATAGGACAAAAGGACACCTGGTCATACAGGAAAATGAATTTACTGTATCCCGAAAGCTTTGGTTTCCCGTGCACTTCTTTTTCGCAGGAGACAATCGATAATTGCCTGGTCATGCAATTGGAGGTGAGTAACTAATTAAAAGTCATCGATACCATCGCCGCTTAGCAAATACACTAGTTGCTGCAAAGGATCCAAATTGCGCTAGAATGTTTTCCTATTCGGCCCACTTTTTATCTCAGGTAAGGCACTGCAAAGCTGATTCACTTACGAAGATTCGAGCGAGAATTATTTCATAATGTTATTCTGATTTCGCAGTCACGGGAAAACAGACCTAGACTCAGGTCCACTCGCAGACGCCATGGTACAACCTACAAGATCTCAAGAACAGAAACTACCCATTGAACGGCCTCTCCTTTTGAAGATTGCGTGTATTTCATTAACACAGGTACATATTAAAAGAATCTTGTTAGTTTCTCCCTTTTAACGAGCTCAAATCGATGCATAAAACTAGGGTGACGTGCACGTGTCAATTGACCCTGGGGTCAATTAGCGGTTGTTTGGGGCAAAATAACCTCAAAATAATCAATCTATTTTACAAGCGTTCGCAAGAACACCAGACTAACTTTCAGATAATGTTGCAGTACTATATCTCATTGGGTAGTAAGCGGGATTTGGGGTGATTTGGAGAATTCCCCCATATGGAAAATTCGATTTTGGTTTTAGCGGTAAATTGTTGTATTTATAAGCATTATGCAAATTACGTTTCAAAATTGTGCTCGTTCGTCGATATTTTATTCTCTAAATCTAAAAAAATGTGCTGTTTAGAAATTTTTAATATCTGTTTTTTGAGATTTAAGTGGAAGATTGCCAATATATTCGCTCGTTTATGAAAGTCAGCTCATCTCTGTCGCTAGGCTATATTGCCGTGTTCGGCGGCTAATTTTAGGCCCGCAAACCGTTGAAATCGAAAATCTCAAATAATTCCCAAATTCGGCCGCATTTTGAAATTTAAACCTCAGCAGTGTTATAAACTCATTAAAACCTTGTTACAGACTTAAAATGAGGGTAGGTTAGGTTTTGAGCTGTGGCCACGGTTTGCTCGATTTTTCTGTGCAGTCGCTCTTAATACAAACAGACACTTATTAGCCTTCAGGGAATAGAATTGCCGAGTCAACTTATTTTAGTATTTAAACGTTAGATATAGGCATATTTTTATCCCCTAAAAATTTTTCATCTGTTCGGATTTCCTAGCTGAAAGTCTAGTGATCCGAAAATTATAGGGATCAAAACTTAACTTTCCGTAAATTTCAGCCAGAAAAAGGCTCCCGATAATTCTAGGTGACCTTTTAAGGGTAAAAATCCGTAAAAAAATAGGCAATTATACCACTTTTTAGATGTTTTAAAATCCTAGGAGAGGCAGGCGAGCAAGAAATTTTACAACAAATGCTCCGAAAATTCTAGATCTCAAATCGTCTTCCGAACAGATATTTTTCCGAAAATTGTCGTTGGGTGCCCCTGAGCCTTAATCAACTTAGCGCGTACATGTTCGCTATATTCACAGTTCTGATCTCCTGAAACGTTTTTACACCTAAAATGTGCAGCTCCTTGCATTGCGGAATGTTATTTACTTGCGCAATTTCCCTAATTAAACCTTTCTTGTAATATCATTCATTATCCAAGAAAATATTTCGTTAATGTAATAATTACAATTAAAAAGAAGAAGACAGAAAATTGTCTTTTGGGTCAAGAAATCACTTTGCATTGTAGCATCATTCTGTTCACTTAGACCGCAATCCCGCGAGGAAATACAAGGCATGCCCACGACATTCAGTGATAGAAAAAATGATAAAGCTAACTCCAAAATCCTTCTCAAGGAACAATCCTTTGATTGATCTTGTCTTATTTTATAAACATAGACCTGTCTTCAATTGAATTTAACATGCATGCCCTGCGCATGCGCTGTTTAATTAGAA